CTGGGAGACACCGACCAGAGCACATGGCTGCAGCGAAGAGGGTATTGCGCTACCTGTGCAGTACGTCGGGCATGGGGCTAGTGCTTGGAGGGCGGAGTCCAGTGGTCCTTACTGGGCATGCAGACGCTTCTTGGGCTGACGACCAGGCTACGCAGCGGTCGTCACAGGGTTACACCTTCAGCCTTGGTTCCGGCTCTGTCTCGTGGCGGTCTACTCGCTCGTCTTCGGTTCTCGGCTCCAGTTGTGAGGCTGAGATCTACGCCGGGGCCATGGCTGCACAGGAGCTTCGCTGGCTCACCTACCTGCTGACTGACCTTGGAGAGCTGCCTCGTTCTCCTCCAGTGCTGTACGTAGACAACAAGGCCATGTTGGCCTTGTGTCGAGAGCAGCGCTTGGAGCACAGAACGAAGCACATTGCTCTCCGCTACTTCCTTGCTCGTGAGCTGCAGCAGCGTGGTCAGTTGCGACTTGCTTACGTGGCCTCTGAGGCCAACACTGCTGATGTGTTCACCAAGGCACTTGCGCCTTGCGACCATCAGCGCTTTTGTACCCAGCTGGGTCTTGTACCTGTCTTGCCTCACTTGCTCTCTTCTTGACTTTGCTTGTACTTTGACATATATATATCCCTGCTCTTGCTTGTCTAGTTTTATATATATGTCTGTACTCCTGCATGTGAACTGGCCTCTGGCCTTGCTCTTGTGCTCAGACTGTGTGGTGACTTTGTGATCCACCCTGAGCTTGCTTTGGTTTGCTTGACTGGTCTTGTGACCCCTTGTTCTCCCCCACTTTGCCTATGGGGGTGTGTCAGATTATTATAGCTGATGTATGTTTGTAGGCTATAGTGGGGTAGCACATATGGGGTACAGTTTGCTAGGGTTGTATTTGTACCCAACTCTGACTTAGTCAATTCATTTTCCTGTTCATTCCTTTCACAAACAAAAACTGAGGGCGGGAAGGGTGGAACCGAACGTGGCGAAAGTGGGAGAGCGAGGGACAGCCGGAACCGAGAGGCTAAGGTGGACCGCAACAAGTCTGAACCGTCGAGGGATCGCTCCAGGTGTTGCCCCACCTCTCCTTGACCCCCTGTGCATAATGGCTGGGCCTACCACCTTCAACCGTTGCATTCTCAAACCAAATGAAAAGCCATTTGGAATTCCTCTGCGCAAACTTCTCCTTATCTTCATGTAGGTTTGTGTGGGTCATTTGGTCTTAACTAGGTCCAACTCAGTTGATTAGATCCCTTTTGCATATTTCACCTCCTTGTGTCCCCCCGCCAACTCTTTTTCTAGATGGAAAATGTGGCGGAATCGTATTCATGCTATCCCCAAGCCCCGATGGTAGCCCACCGCTCCCCTCCTCCCCCTTTGGCAACCTTAGGAGAGTGGTTCATCCCACGCAAGACTCTGACTCCTCCCCTACTCTTGCTTTCCCAGTCACGCCTTCCCCCCCCCCCCCCCCCCCCCCAAATTTCGCTCTCGGCCCCCCTCCCGGTTCGAGATTCTCCAAGTCATCCTGGCACAGTTCCTCCCCGCCTTTAAAAACTTCCTTTGGCGGAGGAAGAAGAACGACACTCGACCTCTCTTAGTAAGTTGGTCACCCTACTACGCTTCCTCGTTTTTTACGCTGACAGGACCCCTTCTATGCACCCAGACCTTCGCTCCTCCTGGCTGCTCAACAGGGCCCTAGTTATCAGCCTTTTTACGCGGATTTAGCGTTATGTCAGGCTATTGTTTTTTACAATATGCTGAATCCAAAGTTTTTTGTTATGTACCTTGGGCTGATTTTTCAGTGTTTTTTAATACCTTACCTGTTTTAACATGGGCTGAGCACTCAGCCTTGTAGGGGGTGCACACTAAAACCGACATTACAGTGATTTCTGCCAGCCTGGCGAAGTGTAGACACCGTCAATCACGGGCAGGAAATCGAATATTCCCCAGCGTCCCCTACACTGTCCCCCTTCTTTCGCTTGTCCCTCCCCTCGGAGAGAATTTCTCCTTGGCCAATCGGGTGATTCATTCTCTCTCGGGGGGCCTCGATTTACTCGAGTGGCCACGAAATTGGGTGATAATTACTCGAGTGGCCACGCCAGGGGATTCCTGCTCGCTTTTTTTTCACCGGCCAATTACCCTATGGGAATTTGTAGCCCTGAAACTCCTTATTTGTGCGAGTGGTATTCCTAGGTAGTGTTCCGTTCTGTTCCGCAACTTAAAATTTCGCCAGGCTCACGAACGCGAAAGTGGCCCGCCTACTGTACAAGAAACTGCCTAACAGTACATTGACCGGTCAGTTTCGGCCAAATGCGCGACCAATGAGCGCGCGGTCCATCTAATTAACATCCAATCAGCGATCGAGTATATGACTTCGCGATCATATACTGCATTTCACCCGAAACGAACCAACACAGCAAAACGACCGCGCTCGATTGGTCAGGAGATAGAGTGGTGCATTTGTTGCCACTGCGCGTCTAATCAGGCGCAAGATTTACGGATTGCCGATCATATTTGAACGCGTTCATTAAACATAATTTACTATATGGCTGTATGGGATTTAAGAGTATGTTTTATATGCACCCTAAGCACACAAACTTGGACAAATCATATGCGCACTAATATTTGTTAGTGCGCGGTCCTATTTTATATATGGTTGCCATTTCATTTGGACGGGGATAATTGGACGCTCAATGGCAAAGCATATCATGAGATTAAAACAAACCAATCACGCGCGGTAATTCAGTTTTTCGCGAATTGATGGCCGGTCATTTCGGTATATGATGGGGAATTCAATGATGGCGCTTGATTGGACGCTCAATGGCAACATATGCACCGCGCATGTTTTTTACGAATCATGCGCGTGCATTCGGGGTGTGGCTGTTCGCTTCGGGTCTATAGGATTATATGATCGAGAAGTTATATGCTCGATCACTGATTCGTTCGGAATTAGATGGACCGCGAGCTCATTGGTCGCGCATTTGGCCGAAACTGACCGGTCAATGTAATGTTGTACAGTGGGCGGGCCACTTTCGCGTCCGTGAGCCTGCGAAATTTTAAGTTGCGGAACAGAACGGAACACTACCTAGGAATACCACTCGCACGAATAAGGAATTTCGAGGCTACAAATCCCCATAGGGTAATTCTCCGGTGAAAAAAAAGCGAGCAGGAATCTTCTGGCGTGGCCACTCGAGTAATTATCACCCAATTTCGTGGCCACTCGAGTAAATCGAGGCCCCCCGAGAGAGAATGAATCACCCGATTGGCCACTGGAGAAATTCTCTCCTCCCCTCGACCCACCATTTTCATACGAATCTCCCCCCAGCCCACGTGTTTCTTTCGAATCTCCCCCCAGCCCACTTTATTCACTCGAATCTCCCCCCAGCCCACTTCATTCACTCGAATCTCCCCCCAGCCCACTTCATTCACTCGAATCTCCCCCCAGCCCTCTTCATTCACTCGAATCTCCCCCCAGCCCACTTCATTCACTAGAATCTCCCCCTAGCCCGCTTCTCCACTCTGAACTCCCCCTCAGCCCCCCACTTCCTCTCGGCTCTCCTCCGGCCTACCCCGCTTCTCCCCTCAGCCCAGGGTTCCTCTCTCACCCCTACCCCCAGCCCACATGCTGGTCCCTCCGGGGCCCTAGTTATCAGCCTTTTTACGCTGATTCAGCGTTAAATCAGGCTTTTTTAATAACCTTAGGCTGATTCCAAAGTTTTTTGTGTGTACCTAGGCTGATTTTTCAGCTTTTTTGGATGAGTGTAGGCTGATCACTCATCCCTGTACACCCCATGCGCGCGAATTTGCCTTGCACCGGATGGACACGCTGCACCCGAGGTTGTTTCCCTAGCTTCATGCACCCACATTACAAGCGCGTCAAGCAGAAGAGACCGAAGTCAAGCAGAAGAGACTGAAGTCAAACTAGGTAACTAGGTAGCAGAGTCTTGTTTATAAGCACATGCGAATTCTTTTTAGCTAGCTGCGAACTTGACGAACTTATGCGAAACGCACGATACAGCTTATACGCCCCCTTCACAAGGCAACCGGGAGGGGCTCAATCAGGCATCAGTTTGTATTAGGTGCGCACACTGAAACCAGCGACTGCATGATTTCCACAGTCCTAGCGCAATGTAGCAGTATCACCGCCAATCACGGGCGCGAAGCAGAATCATTCCCACGCGGCACAGCACAGTCAAACGGACTAAGTCAAACCCACCATTCCATCCGAAACTCCCCCCAAACCACCTCGTTTCTCCCCTCCCTGCTTCGCCCCCCCACCCAAGCCCACCTGCTGCAAAGTCAAACGGAGTAAAAGTCAAACCCACCGTGTTCCACCCGAAACTCCCCCCAGCCCACCCCGTTTCTCCTCCCTGCTTTGCCCCCCCCCGCACCCTAGCTTACCTGCTTCTCTCACCACCCCCAACCCAACCATGAAGAAAATGACTAGTTTTGTGCCTTTGCTTAAAACCGGAGGGTCAAGAAGCACGAAACTGGTTCAAGCTTCCTAAGGTTGGTTGGGTGTTACCCGGTTTCCAGTGGAGGCAAACTTTTGAAACACACAAACCTGGTCCTGAACATTCGCCAAACTAGAACACTGTAGCAGCGACAAATGCCCAGTTGGGTTTCATCGCACGGCACATCGCCCAACACCAACCTGCGTAAACATGAGGCACACAGACAAGAGAAACTTGTCCCAAAAACGCTACTGATTATTCGCGAGTTCTAGGACCCACTATTAGACCCGCGTAGCCCGCCAACTAGCCAACATACCGACAAGCGGGCGCGCGCTAACCACGAATTACAATAGGTATGGGAGAGCTAAAGTCGCGGAAACCGACATTACCGGAAATGTAGTTGTGCGTTGTGACGTTAGCAGACCGATGGCCACGATTCGACCTGCAGAGCTATGCGACGTCGCATTTAGGTCATTTGCATTGCAGGGCAACGCGACGGCGACATTAGGTCACGATTTGCCCTGCAAAGGCAATGCGACCTACAAACAGGCGGAGGTGCATGGGCAGGGGGGATCGCGTGGGCAGGCGAAAGCACCTGGCTCACCTCCGCCTCGCTTACCTCCGCCTCTCTCACCTCCGCCTCTCTCACGCTCCGCCTCTCTCATCCTCCGCCTCTCTCACCCTCCGCCTCTCTCACGCTCCGCCTCTCTCACCCTCCGCCTCTCTCACCCTCCGCCTCTCTCACCTCCGCCGCTCTCACCTCCGCCTCTCTCACGCTCCGCCTCTCTCACCTCCGCTGCCTCTCTCATCCTCCGCCTCTCTCATCCTCCGCCTCTCTCACCCTCCGCCTCTCTCACCCTCCGCTTCTCTCACCCTCCGCCTCGCTCACCCTCCGCCTCTCTCACCCTCCGCTTCTCTCACCCTCCGCTTCTCTCATCCTCCGCCTCTCTCACCTCCGCCTCTCTCACCTTCGCCGCCCAACGTAATTCCTCCGCCTCTCTCACCCTCTGCCTCTCTCACCCTCCGCTTCTCTCACCCTCCGCTTCTCTCACCCTCCGCCTCTCTCACCTCCGCCTCTCTCATCCTCCGCCTCTCTCATCCTCCGCCTCTCTCACCCTCCGCCTCTCTCACCCTCCACCTCTCTCATCCTCCGCCTCTCTCATCCTCCGCCTCTCTCACCCTCCGCCTCTCTCACCCTCCGCTTCTCTCACCCTCCGCTTCTCTCACCTCCGCCTCTCTCACCTCCGCCGCCTCTCTCATCCTCCGCCTCTCTCATCCTCCGCCTCTCTCACCCTCCGCCTCTCTCACCCTCCACCTCTCTCATCCTCCGCCTCTCTCATCCTCCGCCTCTCTCACCCTCCACCTCTCTCATCCTCCGCCTCTCTTATCCTCCGCCTCTCTCACCCTCCGCCTCTCTCACCCTCCGCTTCTCTCACCCTCCGCTTCTCTCACCTCCGCCTCTCTCACCTCCGCCGCCTCTCTCATCCTCCGCCTCTCTCATGGGGAGATACATCGACAGGGGGGTAGCTTGGGTATGGGGAGATACATCGACAGGGGGGTAGCTTGGGTATGGGGAGATGCATCGACAGGGGGGTTGCTTGGGCATGGGGAGATGCATCGACGGGGGGGTAGCTTGGGTATGGGTAGATGCATCGACAGGGTAGATGCGTCGTCCTCCCTCCCTTCCTCCCGTCCCCTTCCTGCCATTCTCCCATCTCCTCATCCTCTCTCGATCCTGTCCCCTTCCCCTTCCCATCTCCCACCCTCCTACTCCCTTCCTCTCATCCTCCCATCCTCCCTTTCTTCCTTCCTCCCTCCCTTCCACCCATCTACCCAACGTCGTCCTCTCCCACCCCCTTCCTTTCTTCATCTATTCCCTCTCCCAATTTTCTGGCTCAGTGCCTTTCCCCGCTCTCTCCCACCTTACAACCACTCTTCATCTTCCCCCCCCCTTCCGCCCTTCCTCTGTGTCCCCCTTGCTCATTTTCTCCCTCCGTGCATTCCTTGTTCCCTACCGCCGTTGCCCTTCCATTGTCATTGTTTTGTATCCTTTCCCGCTGCTTCAACTTTGACACATCCGAGATGTGGTTCGCGTGTGTGCAGGTCTGCCATGCATCCAGTTGTGATGTGTTTGTTGTTTGATGATAGTGGTACTGTATGACAAAGGCTGTCATATATTGATGTTGGATGCTTCTCGTAATACACAACTTTGTGTTTTGGAGCAGAAAGGCACATGACCATTACAAGGAAGTGCAACAAAGCAAGCTATATTTCCAAAAAGGTTTCCAAGAGTGGACTAAAGGCACATGCACACAGCTAGGAGGTGGAACATTTTAACCCATTCCTGTCAGGCCATGATCCATGGTGCTGGGCACCTGTGCAAGCATGGTTCTGTGATGGAACAGGGAGCGAAGAGGGGATATGGCAGAATAAGCGAGGGGTGGAGGTGGAGGTACAGAAGGGCATACATGGGAGGAGTGGACAAGGCAGAGGGGTGAGCAAAGGGGGAAAGGGAGCGAGCAGGGTGGAGAAGGGGGTGAGCAAAAGGGGAAAGAGAGTGAGCAGGGTGGAGAAGGGGGTGAGCAAAGGAGAAAGCAAGTAAGCAAGGGCTAAGGAGGGGTGCGAACAGGGGAAATGAGAGGACTTGGGGGTGGAAAAGGGTTGAACGAAGGGGAATAGAGAGTAAACAGGGGGAGAGATGGGTGAGTACAGGGGGAAAGGGATGGCGAGGGGGAGAGAGTGAGCAAGGGGCAAGGGAGTGAGCAGGGGAATATAGGGGCGAGCAAAGGGGGAAATAGACCGAGCAGGGGGAAAATGGGTGAGAAGGGGGGGAAGAGAGCGAGCAGGGGGGGAGAGAGTGAGCATGAGAGTGAAGGCGATGGGAGGGGGAAGTGAAGAGCAACGACATGGTGAAAGGGAGGATTGGCGAGTGGAAAAGCGAGGGGGGGAGGGAGGGTCAGCGTGGGGGCTGTTGGGAACAAATAGTCTTAAGCGCCTCTGTCGTGTCGAAACTCAAGACACAAGCGAAGCAACTCAAATCGAAGCACCGCGAGTCAACCCTCGGAGGTTAACGTAACCGCTGGAGGTTACGAGAAAGTCAAAGGTCAGCGACCTTTGACCTGACGCAGCGCGACAGCAAGGACATACAACTGACTCGACATTGAGCAGTTGCCCGAGTCGCACTGTATCGAACCGCAACAGTAAAACAGTTACAATTATGTTTCTTCATATTCTCTGTACTCATATATATATACCTGTATCTCTTTGCTTTAATCAACTTACTTTGCCCTCACATACTAGCGCAAGGTGGTTCAAGGACTTTACTCAAACGCTTCCGCTACTACATCATTTACTCATACTTTAACTCTACTAAAGATCCTAGGGCGTTCAGCCCAACATGGTATGAGAGCTGGTTAGAGTTAAAAATTTCTCTTCAACACTTAATACATCAAGAAGACATGTCTGCTAGAAAGGAGAGGAGCTCCTCCAACGGCTCTCCCGGTACTACCCCTACTCCACCTCCTGCCTCTGGCCTACTGACAGAGGAAGGGACAACAACTAGACCAGCAGCTGGGTCTACGGAAACACCCGCAAACCAAGGCGCGGGCTTCGATCCAAGTATGATGGAGAAATTCTTCTCCTTCATGTCCTTCTACGAGCAGCATCAGCAAGGAGTACCTGCGCAATCAAACAACAGCAACAACAACAACAACGTGACGCCCATGAGTCTCGATGGCTCATCCTACGCACGCGGGAATCAACATCAACAACCTACCTTCGCTCCGTACGAGCCCCAGCGTGGCTCCGTCAGCTTCATGCCGCAACCACAACCTGCACCGGGACAAGAAAGAGCACTGGACACACTACAAGTTCAGTCGCAATTCGCGCATGTTCTGAAACTACAAACGACAAAACCTTTCGACGGGAAGGATTTCTTTACCTGGTCGTTCGAATTCGAGCTGATGATGGAAGGAGCGCAGATCCTTGGCTTCTTCGACGGGTCCCTGCCATATCCAACAAACGGCACACAGTATGAGAAGCAGCAGTACACCTATCAATCGATGATGGCGTACACAATACTACTGAGGAACATCACCCCGACTCAACAGCAGAACATAAGGACTTACCGAGGTTACGGTAACTCCGCGGAGCTCGCGTACAACCACTTGAAGAACCTGTATCAAGCAACAGACAGCGTAAACCAAAGCCGGTTAATGGCGCAGCTGACAACAATCGAAATGAAACCAGGCGAGAAGGGCATGGCATATATCAGCCGCTGCCGCGAACTGCGCGACAAGCTTCTTCGATGTGGAGGATCGATTTCAGAAGACGCCTTTGTCACGGTTGTCATCGGTGGTCTTGGCCCTCACTGGCGCTCCACTCGCGCCATATTACGGGCACACGGGAGAATCTCCGAAGCAGCACTCTGCGCCGAAATCCATGCTGAACAGCAGGACATGGACCTGCAAGAAGAACGACATAAGAAGAAAACGTGAGTACCAGAGTTCGCGTTTCACACCCAGCGACGCTACAACAACAACAATCGGCAGCAACAACAATTGAAGCCAGTACCTCCGTTTTGCCATATCTGCAAGACTTCAGGGCATCCTCGTACGCACTGCCTGTATCGCCAGCAATCGACAACACCACAGCGACAACTTCGGCCTTCAAGCTCCCAAGTCACTTCAACGCAAGCAACTCCCACGACAAAGATTCAAACCTCAACGACTCCAACAGGACAACCTGCACAAGGAGCAAGAAACATCGTCAACTGCATGGCAAAGACAACAGATTCCTGCATCACCGAATCACCGCCGCACTACTCACCAGAGGAACGACTAGACGAAACCACACCTCGCCGCGAGTCACTTCAGCCGAACCCGACATACACCGCCATCGCTCAAAGCGAGCCATCCGGAAGAGACACTTGGTTCTTGGACAGTTGCTGCGGACAACACATGTGCTCCTCAGGACGTTTCGTTCAACGCGAGCACCGACTTCAACGAGAAGTCGTCATCACCGTCGCCAATAATCAGAACCTGCGAACAAGACGACAAGGCATAGTACAGCTTCAGTCACGGGAGACGAACGTCGTACTACAAATGTCGAAAGTCCTAATAGCAGAGGGACTCGGCTACAACTTACTGAGCGTCAGTCAGCTGATGGCGAAAGGCATACACCTGGAAGCCGACAGTGCGACAGTGTATTCTGGCAGAATTAATAGGCAGCCATGGATTAGATCAAGAGACTAGCTTTAGCAAGAGTCCAGATCTGAAAAGTGACGAGTTGTTCAAACCCTACCAACCCAACCCTCGCCCTACAACAATCCCCAACAACCCACAGTGCTAAACTAGCAACACCAAAGCTGTTGTAGTGAATAGCAAAGGTTTGTTGGTGCTTGTTGGGTGCGAGATCAATTCCAGCCCGCAACAAGTCTAACCACCACATTTTGCCCAAACCCTTAGCCCACAACCAGCTAGAGAAAAATACCACAACCACCTACACAATCAACACTCCCCCTTGCTCGTGGTGGAGGTGGCTGAACACCACTGGGCAAAATCCTTCACTTCACTCCCCCTTGCCCAGGGAGGGGCGCCATCCACAGCATGAGGTCGTCAAGGCAGAGAAGCACCAGTCCTCCCACATCCTGCTCAGGCACCATGCTGACATGGGGCTGCATCCCCATCAAGGACATGCACACACCATGCCGCTCAAAAGGAAGGGGTTTGGTGAGTATGTCTGCTGCTTGACGGTTGGTTGGGCACCACCGGAGGATCACCTCGCCGCATGCCACCATCTCCCTGATGAAATGCCACCGAACCTGCATGTGCTTGGTGCGGCCATGCAAGCATGCATTCTGTGCAAGGGCAATGGCAGGCTGGTTGTCCACAAACACAGGCACACCACCAGCAAACTCATGCCCAAACTCCCCAAACAAACGCTTCAGCCACACACCCTCCTGAATGCACTGACACAGACTGATGTACTCACTCTCAGTGGTAGACAATGCAACCACCGGCTGCCTCTTGCTGTGCCAAGAGATGGCTGCACCATTAAGGCAATAGACATAGCCGGTGTGACTCTTGCGATGAGCTGAATCTCCAGCATAATCAGCATCACTAAAGCCCACCAACTCAACTTGAGGCTTGCTGTGTGCGGGGTAGAATATACCTGACTTGACACAACCTTTCAGGTACCTTAGCACTCTCTTGGCAGCCTGCAGGTGAAATGCCTTGGGACAAGACACCACCTTGGACAGCTGTGACACTGCATAAGCAATCTGGGGCTGTGTGGTCGTGCTTGCATACATGAGAGACCCCACAATACTTTGATAGAGCTGGACCAGCTCATCTCGCAGCAAGGGCTCCTCAGCATGTGCATGCACGTCGAACCCTGTAGGGAGAGGGGTACGCACGGGGTTAGCCTCAGAATGGCCAAAGGACTCAAGCATGTTGAGAATGTACCTCTCCTGATGAATCAAGATGCCACTCTCATCACGCTCAATCTGCACCCCCAAATAGTACTTAGCCTCCCCCAAGTCCTTCATGCGGAAACGAGAGGACAAGAGACCCTTCACCTCGTCCAGCAAGACCATGCTCGAAGACATGAGCAGAATGTCATCCACATAGAGGTAGAGGGACAGCCGGCCCTCATGCCTCACCAAGTGGTACAAGGCGGGGTCACACTCCGACCTCTCAAACCCAAAATCCATCAGCGCCTCGTCAAACTTGAGGTACCACTGCCTTGGAGCTTGCTTTAGCCCATAGATTGATTTCCTGAGTCGGCAAACTCTGCCGGACCCATCATCAAAACCAGGGGGCTGCCTCATGTACAGCTCCTCCTTCAAGACCCCATGAAGATAGGCAGTGGTCACATCCATGTGATAGATGTGAGACCCCGAGGATGCTGCCATCCCAAGGGAGCCTCTCAGGGTGGTAGGTTTACCCACTGGGGTATATACCTGGTCATAGTGAACGCCTCGTGTTTGAGTGTTCCCCATGGCCACCAACCTGGACTTAGGCCTCTCAATACTCCCATCAGCCATGTGCTTATACTTCCACACCCACTGACA